GGTGGGGGGGTGTGGAGTTGCAGTAGGGTAACAAAGTAAATAATGTACATGCAGAGTGTTAGAAGGGAATGCAATTAACCTTGTTGAGTTTAGTGGTGCAGCCCTAGTCCTAATATTACCTGCTGAGTAAAAGCCCTGTTATCTTTCCCTTCTTGCCAGAGGAAAAGGCTCACCAAGTAACAGGACACTGCCAAGTTCAGCTCATTAAGTGGAGCAAGGGAGGGATAGGGTATGCCAGGGAAAGCTTTTCACTAGCACACTGTGTGTGCCCCTTGGCCTCAAGCACAGCAGACACATTAACTGGCCTCCCTGCTCCCCCCACTTCCCTCTCCAGTTTGTCAGCTGCCAAGCCCAGGGGAAGGCTGTGTTCCCCCTGACAGGTCTCCTTGTTGGATTCTCAGGCAGCGGTGTCCATCCATCCCCCTCTGCTTCAACCAGTGTCAGATGTGTGTGCACCTCACCCCAAAGGATGAAACAGGTGCTACAGGTCTCCATCCCATGTAGAGACTCACATCATGACATAGTTCTGCTTAGTGTTATTGAGAGATACTGTGTTGTCCAGATGCTTTGGGTATGTAAAAATGATGAGGTGACTGGGAATCACAACCCTGTATAATGCCCCTGCCTTGAGCATTCAGAGACTGTAGATAGGGGAGGCGGGAGGTGGATGAAGAGTGCCCTGTCATAATCCACAGAAGAGGGTGTACGCTGCAGGGTTGAGACTGTGACAGTCCCAGGAGAAGGTACTTCTGTTGTCTAACTTAAGATCATACATAGCAGTTTCCAACCAAAATTATTTATTTGTATTTCTTTGTGTAATCCAGCCTCCTCCTATTCTCTTGCAGTGATTTCTTGGAGTGTCTTATTATTTTAGGTGAGATCCCCTGAGCAACACTGACTTTTTTTTTTTTTTTTTTAAAGTTTACATTTAACTGTGCAGCCATTTAAGCAGTCTGAGTAAACTGAGTCACAATCTGATCAGAGAGAGATGCTTTGAAATAATATTCATTTCACCCTTGAAAATATCCCTCTGAACTGCTCTGCAGTAATGTACAAGCTGATCCCATTCTAGGGGACAGATCACTCTTAGGTTTGTCATCACTATTGATAATGTACTCATGTTCTGGGATGTGGGTGTGTTGTGACTGTTACAGGAAAACAAATGTTAAAAATTCCACTGAAACTATTCATGCCAGTGTTTTCAGCACCCCAAGGCTGTAGTGTAAAGTTCTTCTCTAAATCTGTCTCTCACAGAAGGTGGTGTGTAATACTTTGCACATAATCTTGGTCCATTTATTCCTATACCTCTGACGTTATTTCTTTGATGTTCTTGATGAAGTCTGACAGGGGAAATACTAAAATGCAAGTTCTACTGAGAGTCATCCCAATGTGTGAGTTGTTTTTCAGTGACAGTGCTAGAAGTCAGTGTTTGGTTTTGGGGTGGTGGGTTGGGTTTGTTTGGTTTTGGTTTTTTTACTTAAAATTGGTTTAGGAGTTGTAATGGTACTTCTGATTGTAATACATGGATCTTAGAAGAGTTCAGTAGGTCTCTGTGGAACTTACTGTGGGAAGTTTGCAAATGCTGTCTGTTTTGCCTGTGGTTCAGCTGTTGTAGTATCTCATACCAGACAAAACCATGGAAATAATACACTATTTGGAAATAAAACTTGGTGTCTTCATTCACCACTGCAGGACAGTACATGAAACCATTGTGACTGTTAGTCATCTTGGTGCTTTCTGTGAGGAAGACTTCATATGCTTCCATCCAATTGTTTCCCGTGCCTAATGATCTCTGCTGGTGGAAACTGCTTTATTGAACTACTATCTAAAAAACAATCTTTGCTGTTTAATTGGTGTGGGAAGAACGTTTCATTCTTGGTGGTCCTGAAATACGTATACTTAATTCTGCCTTTTTCCAGTCTTCCTTAGCCTGAGCTGCAACTTGCTTTTTGTCTTCATGGTTGATGCCCCTTATTACTCCCCCTGCTCTTCTTTGGACTGTCAACTTGGTGTGTATCCTTCTTCAGAAGTAGTTGTAAGAAGGCAGAGTACTTGGACCAGATTGGGCCTTGAGCTGTAATTCAAGCAGCCTTGCTCTGAAGAAGATATTCCTGTGTGTATCTCCTTGTATGATGGTTACTTCTTATACAACAGCATGGCACCGATGGGATCAGCAGTTGCTTAGCAGTAACCGAAAGGTGCTCTTCCACAGCACTGGCGCCGAAGCAATCACCCCCCAGCCTATGTTTGTACAACATGGCATTTATTGCTTCTTACTCATTTATAAGGGCTGTGTAGGCAGCGTTGGTGATGTGGGCTGTTTGCTCAGGAGGGAGCAGAGATCTGATGCTGCCCTGCACTCTGACTTTAACCTACTTGGGGTGCTGTCTGTGCACCCACAGGCTGCTCAGGGTTTCAGGGTGTTGAGTAGCCCAGTGAAATTTCCCAGGATGTTTGGAAATCGCATAGTTAAAATCCAGTAGCTACAGTTCATTCGTTCCAAAGTTGTCAAAGGGGAAAGGAGGTGGCTGCAGCCTAGAAACTGGGAAGTGTGGTAGCTCTAATTTGGTTATTTTGAAATACCATCAAATTCGAAACATTTTCTGAAACTCTCTTCTGCAGTGTTGTGAGTTTATTAAGGATGGAGACGGGTATTGTTATCACTAAGTTTTAAACAAAGTTAGCACCAGTGTGCCTCACATTGCTTTGCTGCCTCAATGCAGTGTTTTCAAAGCAGAATGTTATGTTTCTTTTTTTTAAATTCCATCATGAATTTCTGTTTGAAATCTGAGATAATAGGCAAGTTTATAATCCTTGCTTGGCAGAGGTTCTTTTCATCTCCATCCTTTTTCCTCCAACCAAAGAGTTAGTGCAAAGCCATTATGCTTCAGACAGAAGGAAATAGAAATATTTTGTCTCAGCATACTGTAGAAATTTCAAAATGAAAAGAGTATCTGAAAAAATATAAAAACCCAATAGCAAGCATTATGTGGGGAAACAAATTGTAACTTAACTAAAATAATCTTCAATGTTGGTGCATGGGAGTGTTGTTCCTGTTTGCTTCCCTCTCATGACTATAACAGAAGTTCAAAGTACAAGTTATTCTGGGGCAGTGTAATTAACCTCACATCAGATGGTGACTCTCTAATTTCCTCTGTGTATCAGGTCTTTCAAGAAGCAACTTATAAGCAACCCAGTATCCTCACAAAATTCTACTCCTGGAAATTGATCCTTACCAAATCTGTAACAAAGATGCAGTGGGTAACACAGATGCAGGGTGTTACCCTGCCACTTAGCACCTGGATTTTACAGTGACAAAGATGTTAAACTATTCTTCTTTTCATTGGGATCTTTCATTCTAGAGAGCAGCTCAGTTCTCTTCTGAAGACTTATAACTCTTACTATTCCGATCAAGAAAACCTGCAACTGTCACATAATCAGGTAAGGATCTATGTAAAAATAATACAAAAAGCACAGTGTAATAGTAGGAAAGGCACCAATGGGTGCTGATGTTTAGCATGGCTAGACTGAACAGTGTAGGATATCTGTTGTGTGTTAGTATATTAGGTGGAATATATCACTGTAATGCAAATGCCACAGCAAGTGCTACAGTCAGAAGCTGTGAGGACAAGAGCAGAAATAGATATGTTCAGACTAGTGGGAGTTCCAGATTTTTAACAAGTGTGATCTTCTTCCCATCCCATTTGTTAGCATATCACAGGAAACCATTCATTAGTTTGACATCTCAAATCTTCTGTCATTAGCTGGGAGAGCATAGTACTGCAAATATTTCTGTGGGATGCAGTTCCCCTTTCCCCTTCTGCTTGAACCCACAGTGTGTAGTGGCAGGACTGCTGTCCCTTGCATCAAGGAGAGACTGCTGCTCTCTCTTCAATTGTAAACTGTTAGTACAGAGAAAATGCTCATAAGCGTAGCCCCAGGAGTGCATCTTCTGTGGGGACCAGAAGGGCCTGTGGAGCTGAAGGATGAATAAAAGCATGAGTCGTGTTTCTCATACCTGAGTCTCTGGTTCAGAGGTCTGAACTTCCTTCTCCTTTACAAGCTGCGTTTCTATTGTTTTGCTGATATCAAGACCCAAATGGATATTAGAGCAATTCTGGGCAAAAATGGTCTGAAAATGGGCAGTCCTTACTTCTCTCTCCCAGCTCCTTCTGCAGTGACAGAGTTCTGTGTCAGCAAGAATGAGGACCATTAATGACTTTTGACAGATGCCATGCTTTGCATCAAGGACGATTTAATTAATTGCTTCTTCTGCCTCTACCAGCAGTTGTTCTTCCCCTTTATCACCATCATAGCACCCTGGTTTCAGAAGAGCTAGTTGTCCAAGTAGAATAAATAGGATTTGACTTGTAATTGTATGGAATTATGGACATGTTGGTCAGAAAACCTCCTGGTCACATTCAGACTAATGCTGACACGAGGTCAGGTCAGCTGTGGCTTTAGCTAGCTGGTCTGAAAATAGGTTAAGTATGGAGGCCACACGGCCTCCCTAGGTGACCTGTTCTAGGGCTCTTTTTGCCTCAGATTTCATTGTATTCCTGTTGCTTTGAGGGGAAATCAGTTATTATTACTTGATTATTATTGCTCAATTATTTTGCAACACTCTGTTTTGTTTTGGTTTTGGTTTTTTTTTTCCAGCAAGAAGGAAGCAAAACATTTATTGAAGGAATCTTGTCAATATTCTGGGGAGTCCGACACCCGATCCGGTTAAAAATTCAGGATGAGAAGCAGATACCCTCTTTTGTCACCCTGAAGACAACAGAGAATGTGGGTTTGTTCCCTAATAAAAGGTAATGGATTAATTTCCACAAGGAGGAGGCAGGCTAGTGTTTCAAGACAGCTGATGTAGGTGGCTTCAATGGATATAGCTGGTTGTATATCCCAGAAGGCTGTGGTGGTCCTTTGCCCAGCAGTACTCTGTGCCCAGTGTAACTGGTGTGGTCTTTTGACAGCTTCTGCTGGGCAGGAAGATGCATCTTTGTAGCATATTCATTACATTTTTGGCTTTCAGCTTAAGAACAACTGAGAAGGTGGAGAAGGCTGCTCTTGTCTATACTGACTATTCCCATGAAAGTACTGACAAATTTATGCACATAAAAATTGATAAAAAAACCCCAACCCACATGTATATATGTACTTCCAAAAACATGGGTAGCCCCTGAAAGACCTCATGTCAGTGCACATTTTACAGCATGAAGCAAAAAGCTGGTGGGTTACTTCTAAGCGATTGTCTATTGCAGATTACCTTCCCGAGTACTTCAGGTGTGAAACCATTGTTTCTCAGGGCAAGTTTAAGCCAGGGAACAAATACTGGCTTTTTCTGTGCAAAATCTGATGTTAAAGCCCCTTAGAAATATGCACAGATCAGCTGCTCATTCTGGCTGCTGCCTGTGATGTTTAATATCTGAGTGCATTGTGCTGATCTGACTCCTGCTAGGTTCGCCATACCTTTAAAAACTGATGTAGGTTCTCAGACTATTTATTCTTCCTGTTTTGAATGATATTTCCCAAGCCTTGGTTGATGACTTTTGAATCTTATCTGATGAGCTGAAGCAAAGTAATGTGTAATATAGAGGCTCAGCCAGTGTTTACCCTGAATGAAATATGGAATTTATCAGGGAATCCTAGTAAAGTCAGGGACAGTCTTCCTCCCTATTTCTTGCTGTTGAAATTAAAGGATGTGACATGACAGGAGTAACAGCTATGAACTCGAGTTTGAGGCAAATCTGGTTCTCTTTGTTCACCTTGACCAGATCTGCTGATATGGGCTGCGTGTGGCCTGTAGGATAGGTTCCAGTCTGGAAGTTAAAGTTCTACTTTGCCTTTTATTTCTTAAAAAAACTTATGACTGGTGGAGATCTGAATCTTAAAGTAAATAATTAATGATCACAGAAATGTGAAGTTGCCCTGACATGCTTTAAGGTATGTAGAGCAGCTTGACTGTTTGATCTTAAATGAACTTTTTAAATGCATGGAACACAACTGAGATCATCATTTGACATGTTTGTTGGAGTTAGCTGAATATTGTTTTGAATATATATAGGAAATGAATTTTTAATATTTTCTTACAAATTGGTTTATTCTCAGTCAGAGCAGTAACTGGCCAAGGACTTTCTGCTAGAGAGTTTATGCAATGAATTATGGAAATACTGTCATAAAGTTGAATTTAAAACAGAATGGATTGAACTCCTTGTTCTCGTACAGAACTGGTTTGGATAACATGAGGGGCTAGTATGGTAATTTAAACTTTCATGTCCCCATCTGTGTAACAGACTTGATGCATCCTGTAACGATTTAAACCACAATATGTGTGTGTTTTCTGTGTGCCTGCCTGATATCCTACATGTGAGTAATCCATGGCATTGCCATAAAATAAATAAAGAATTACTGCAAATTATTTAAGGGACATCATGCTTGATGTTCAACAGACTCTAAATAGGATTGTGTTACATCTGGGTTCCGTAGTCATATCACATTTTACTAACCAATTCTGTTTTGACATAAACTAAAATTACTGGCTTCTGTAGTTGTGCTCTATAGAGTTTTGAAAAGGGATAGGAATATGTTACACGAAGCCTGGCTACAGGATAAATTGAAATCACTGAGTTAATGAAGAGTAATCAACTATAAATATGTTTGGTATTTCAGGGGAATGACACGCTGGGGAGAGTTTGATGACCTACATCATATTAGCGGGGACACATTGAAATCTACTGAAGAAAAGCCAAACCTTGAGAAAAGTTAGTGTTGGTGCTGTTACATTCACTAAAGATTCCTTGTTCTGTGACTGTGCAAAAATAATTTGACACATTAGAACTTCGGTGCCAATAAAGGGAAATGTTCTTCTGTCTCTGTTTAACATTTATTAAATTCTAGTGAAACACTGACTTTTGACTGGTTAGTGAAACCATTGCTGTGCAGATAACTTTCCAAATGGCCAGTGCCAGCAGGCTGCGTTTTCACCAAAGAAATAATTTCCAAGAAGTGAAGAAAATAGGTGACTGTAACCACCAGAGACAGCCTATTGCTCTTCACCATATGCCTATGCCTTGCTCCCCTCTCATTCCACACCCACCCCCCAAAATTAAAAATGGAAAAAAATAAAATTAAAAAAAAAAAATCTCCACTGAGAGCTTCCTTCCTGTGGGGATGCTGGCAAGGAGGGTAGAGCAAGCTGATGCGGTTTGATTTTTGTCTAGGTTATTCATGTTACGAAAGCCGCACTCTGAAGACCGCGAGCGAGCAGGAACATGACTGTGCTACCCTGCCCAGGGCTGTCAGCAATGCTGCAGCTGTGCGGAAGAGGACCAAGTTCCCCATGGGAGCGAGGACAGAAGTAGAAACTCACAGGGTTTCAATTAATGGCCACTTCTACAACTACGAGGTATGAATGTTTGTGCTTGTCTTTCATCACATGAGGTAGGGACCGGTAAAAATGTCCAGCAAGCTTCTGGACTCTCCTGCACCCCCTTAGCCAAGGCTCAGCCCTCACTGGCCCCACAGCAGGGCCAGGCTGGTGCCGCTGTGTCTGGTTTCAGGTGTGCCTGGCCACTGCACAGTGGGGTCCCCAGCGGTCCTGCGTACCCAGGCTGCTCTCCTGAGGTATTGCCTGCTCTTTGCTGAATGGCAGCAGTGGCAGCACACCCGACAGTTTGCCTTGTCCCAGAGCTGTGCTGGTTTGTATCCTACTGAGTCTTCATACTCATGCCCTTCTGCTGCTGTTTTTGTTCCTAGACATCAGTTTTTACTCCAGCTTTTGGATCAGAAACCAAAATAAGAATAAACAGCCAGATGAGAACAAGAGAAGTAATAGAACAGTTGCTTCGAAAGTTTAAGGTAACTGTGTGTTTGCAGAAGCAAGAGCAGCTGTGTTTTAGAAATGTTAACTCAAGTGTGTCGCACCAGTGCTGTGTGATAGGCAGAAAATAACTGGGAGGGGGGGATAGTGCATAGAAACAAATGATGCGGGCTGTTTTTTAAGGAATGGGTTTTATTTTACAAATGTTTCACAGCTTTTTGAGCCTAGAAAAGTTATACTGGGTGCATAGTGTGCAGTGAAGGAAAAACTACAGAACCACTTCTCTATATAGTTACGCACAGGAGGGGGAAATGCTGCTGCACTTTCAACATGTCCTAGCCCAAAGAAAGGATGTTTGCTCAGTGCACGCTGCCGTGCTTCCCTCTAGTGACGCTACCCAGTAATCGTATCTTGTTTAAAACAATAGGGAATTCTCTTTTAGCCCAAGTGTCTGGGAGATGCATTCTCTTAGATCCAGGCACATGGAAAGCTCCAGAAAGTCAGTTAGAACTAGTGCTCAAGATCAGTGCCATACTGTCTGAAACTACTTTTATTTTTTCTTGGTACCACCTTCCATTAACGTGATTATATCTAGTCTGAAATATGTTTACCATTGGTGCTGTGTATTTCTTCAGTATCTTTAGTCTGTGTAGCTCCTTAGTGTACAGTTTTTGAAAATTCACCATTTACCTTGCCTAGAGACTTTCCTATTGCAGAACTACTTCATACAGTTAACAAGACTTGGTAGTGTAATACTAGAAGGAGGAGTTCTATGAATAATAAGGAATGGAATTACAGAACATGTTGTAAAGTTGTACTGAATAAGCTGAAAAATAAATGTTCAAAAGGACTGCTATTTTCTGAATGTGGTTGTGCGGACAAGTGAATAGGAAGAGATCACAGGGTTTTACCCTATTGGTAATACTCCTGGCAAGTCTGTGGGTCACCCAAAAAGGAAGTTGTATGAAGTAAGAGTGCTCCAAGGAAACAAGACTGGAAAGATCTGGTATTGTCCAAGATGGTATGTTACTGACTTGGACAGTATGGTAATGTAAGTCATCATGAGGTAGTGGGGTACCAGGACATGAACACGGCAGCGTAGCTTTCTCCCTTATCCAAATCCAGTATCTTTTAACTTTCCACAGACAGGATCCCAATCTCAGACTTTGAACTAAATATCTGAGTTGAGAAGCACAGAGAGTATCTGCTGACAGTCAAATGCTAGGAAAGTACATCAGTCAGTCTGAATAGTTTTTTGTTTGTGTTTAACAGATAGAAAACAGCCCGCATGAATTTGCACTTTATATTATCCATGCATCCGGAGGTAAGCCAGACACAGCTGCATGACCGCTTCATCCCTAATTATCCTCTGTGTGTGTGTGTGGACTGCTTAACTTGGAGCGACAGGATTTGTCATGGGCATCTGTCCTAGTTGAGTCTGTGAGCGTGGTGTGTTGTTTTGGCTTCTCTGGAGACCCTTAGAGATGTGTGGTCCCCTGGTGGAGAGGAAAACCTGAGTAACTGTGTTCTGGGTGCTTTCCCTGTGCTACTGGTCTGGGTGGTTCAGCTAAACAGGCCTTCGTTTTTCCTTTAATGAAAGGCTGTGTTAGAGATGCTCTTCTGCTCTAACTTTTGTTCTGCACAGCCACACTGCAGCTGTGGGATGCCAGGCTCCTGCTGGTAGTGTTGTGGGATATGTTAGCTGACAGTTTTGGATGATAGTCCTGGATTGCAGAGGCCTAGTTAAAAGTACTCATTTTTCAGTGGAAAATGTTTACTTGTGCAACACGCTTTTTATTTCTTCAGGAAAAAGGAAATTTGATCTTTATTAATTAAAAGGAATACCTGAAAGAATGGGAGAGAACTGATGGGCATGTACCTTAAATGTCAAAATATGAAATTGAAAGGGTGTTTGATAATTTTGAAGTAGATTTTGTTTTAGGGAGTCACAGTCAAGATGCTAGGCCTGGGATCAGTCTCTTAAGTGCTTACTCAACTACGTAAATTGCAACCCCTTTGTGTTGCCTCTACCAGTTTCCTTCAAAAATGCATAACGTGTTAGGTGCCACATCCTCCTGCACACATGTATTAGAGACTTGTTAGGTATCTAATAATTGCACATCTGCTAAATACAGGATATTGGTCAAGGTATCATTGAATGAGGTATCTATCTAGAGGTGCTGTTGTACATTCTGTGCATCACAACATTTCTTGTAAATCCTAGAAAAGAAGCAGCTGAGGAGTGCAGATGTTCCCTTACTGCACAGACTCTTGCAGGGGCCCTCGGAGAAGATTGCCAAGTTTTTTCTCATGGACAGGGATGTGGAAGAGGTTAGCAGTGATGTATGTATATCTTCAATTCTAATAGTTCACAGTATTTTTCCCAATTAGCATAGTTGCTAAGGTGCATTTCTTGTCATCTTTTCGATAGGTTGCTCAGTATATTCAATTTCATCTTCCCTTTTTGGAATCGATTCTGCACAGAATAAATGAAGAAGAACAACAGGAGATTCAACAGACAATTGCACGGTAAATAGAAGTAAAATGAGTGGGGTCACTTGGAGTCTAGGAGAGTGTTTACAATTATGGTTTGGCTCAAGAGGTGAATACATGTATGTGGCAGAGTGTAGACAGAACACTGTGCTGTCACAACTTAAGTTAAACTTTGTGGGATTTATAATGTTTTCTGTTTCTGGTAAACCCAGAAGAGCTGTTGCTGTTAAAGATTCCAGAATAAATACTGACTACACACACATGGGGGGGATCTTTTCAGAAAATTCGAACACTCGGGGTTTCTTCTGGTTATTTCATTTGGTTTTTGAGCCTTAGACTGGTTCCTCAGTTGCTACTTGCAGCAGTGTGTTTCTTTGAACACACTGGAGTACTATTTAGGTAGTGCAGTTTTAAAGATAGATTAGTGCCAAATTCTTAATGTTCCGTTAAAACTTCACTTCTGATTGCTGGCATGTGTTCTTTCGATGGAAGCTCAAAATGTACGACAGGTACAAGTTAGCAACACAGTGGTATTTCTGAAAATATGAGTCCTGAGTTCAAAAGCAATGTGAGTCTTTACCAGCTGTGGATCTGTTATCAAATGACTGTCTGATAATCACTTTGAATCAGTGGCCAAGAAATGTGAAGAAAAGAAAGAGTAGAAATTGTCATTTTTCTATCAGAGAAGCTTTCATTACATTTTTCAGCCATTCAATTAGCACGTTAGAATTTGGGTTGAATTTTTGCAGGGTTCTGTGTTATTTAAATGTATTCTCTCCGTCTCAGGTATGTGAAAGAGAGGAGCATGATATGCCAGCACCTTCATAGTCGAACTGTTAAAAAAACAGAGACTACTGTTTGATGAGAATGGCTCCACGTGCTGCCTTCGCCAAAGGGAAGCCAGTAGGTTTGCTTGAATGTGCCATGACTGAAGAGCACTTAAAGCACAGGGGTGTTCAAAATACTGGAGTTTATCCTGGTTAATTATGCAACCAAAACTGAACCCACTCCTCTACAGCTTTGGAATACTGGTTGGGAACCACCTAAGAAGAGGTACTAGATCCCCTGGAAGACTGATGCTGAATCTAGTTTGAAGCTTAAGAGAGGGGAAAAAAATCCTGTGAAAAGCATAAGGCTTAAAGACCTGCTCATTTACAAACCATTACCAAAAGTCTAGCATATAAGAAAAATATTGCAATAACCAATGTGTAAATTGTACTGAAAATATGAAAAATAAGTATATGGTTTTCCTTCTATTAGAGGAATGTTGAATTATGTTAGGAGGAAGCTTTTCAGTAGAGATAAGTTGCAAAAGGTACTTATGAATCTAAGACTGCAGTTACGCTTTTCACTGATCGTAAAAAACAAAAAAACCCCAAACAAAAGCCTGCACAAGATAGACCTGAAATCCCACTGGCTTCAGATTGGTAGATGCCTGACTTGCTTAAGCTTTGAGCTACAGTTAGGAAATATATAAATGGAAACCCTCCCGCTTAATAGCTACTCAGCTCTTAAACATAAGAGGGAATTTATCTCTGAAATATCTCTTGAACTACAAAGTAAGAGCTCTCACTAAATGCTGTTATATCTGCTTGACTGGGTCCTGAAGGCACCTCAGCGTTTGTTGTTTCTGAAACAGATGATTCCCTGTAACTTCCTGTGGTTTGTATTTAAAGGTGGAAGAGAGAAGTGTTGGGTGCAAGAGGCTGAGTATCACAGCCGTGATGGGGCTGGGTTGGCAGCCTTCCCCAGATGCAGCTTGGGTGTAGCCTGGCCCCAGCGCAGAGTGTAGCAGCCAGCTGTCAGGTCCTGTCTGGCTGAGTCGTGCTGAATTTTAAAGCTCAAATTGTAGAGATTTAAATAAAATCCAATTGGTGCACAATTAATTGCCCTCCTGTATTAATTTGTCTTTTTTTACATGGTATCTGTGTTTTGCTTCGGTGACCTTTGACTTGCGCAGTTAAGAAGATAAACACTATGACAAGGAGGAAATCAGCTTCCAGTATATGTTGCCTAAAAATCATGTGGAATAAATCAAACATGAAAAACTTTACACTGCCTGAGATTATGTTACTTGGATGATAACTTTAAAAATGAAAAGTCAGTGTGCTAATTAAAGCTATTGTGGTTGGTGCAAGGGGTTTATTGTAATGTACAGTCTGTTATAATCCTGTCCAGGAAAATAATTATGGGCAAGGGAGCACAGAGGAGAGAAGTAAGAATGATTCAGCAGTTAAGATGCATGGTAGTAAGAACCAGTTGCCTTAGAGGTGCAAATATAAGTTCCTGGAAGCAACAAGAGTATGCACACAAGTGTCACTGGAAGTTCCCCAGGGACCCATTCAAATACATGTTAGCCAAGTTTTAGGAGGTATGCAACTCACCCTACAACATCACTGGTTATACTTGCAGGGTAAGGTTAAATTTCAGTGAGGTCTGAAGCAGACCATGTCCAAGTTCCTGGCCAAACTCAAGCAGAATTTGGCAGTTTGAGCCATCTCACGGATGGGGCATTCAGTTCCTCTGAAGACCTAAGTCTCAAGCACCAGCTGCCTCTATTGGAGCACAATGGATGTGATGCTAGAGTCAGAATAGGAACAGACCTATTGGGCTGGATTCTTGGCTTTGTTCTGTTGAAATTGCTCTCAGGAACAAATCATAACCCATTGGCAAGGCAATGTTCGGGTAGCTCGAATTCATGAGCAGGGAAATAAACTAGTCTGCACTCCTTAGAAAAGGACAAGTGCCACAGGAATTTCTACCAGGAAAAAGTATTTAAGTATTTTTATGCAGAATAGGCTATTTCTATTACGTGTCCCATTTTGTAAGTGCTTGAGGAGTTGTATGAGGATACAGTATGAAAACTGTGGAATGTGGAATAGTTGTAACTCCTTGGTCTGAGATTAAAAGAAATCAATGCACAGACCATGTGGAAAAGAAAGTGGTTTTAAGCACAATCCTCTGTGTATATACACAATTACAAAATCGAGCCATTTTTGCCACCATCAGCTGTTAAATCCCTGAATCCTTTTTATTTCACTTGTCCTGTTGAATGAGGACTGAAGGATGTTGGAAAATACCCATGGTACATAGCACAGATTAGCTAGAGTCTGCTGGCTTTTAAGGGCTAGTGAAATAAATAAATAAAGCTGCAATGTTGCTGTGGTGTTAGTTCTGTGTGAATACTATGCTCGTTGAAATGAATTGTTTCTGACACATACAGGTAAGAACAGGGGAAGAATTTATTACAAAGCATTACTGGATATTCAAGGTAACACAGCAATGAAAAAGAAGTGATAGAGGAAATGGGGTTTGCTTTTGAATTCATCCTAAGCCATTAGCCATGAAGACAGCAATTACAGATCTGACCTGAATTCGTACTGCCAAGCTGCCTCAGACAAACCCAAAGTCATCACTGGATTAAAAAAAAAAAAAAAAAAGCTGAAAACCCCAACAACCAGATTTCAGAAGACTGATCTTCATCAGACCATGATATCTTAAGAAAACACAGTGCTAAGAGAAGCCCCACATGGCCATCTAATCATTGGTTTGGTATTGATCTTTGTGTGTCTGTCAGCTCCCCACCTTTTCCAGTCAATCCCAGAGCTTTGTTCCCCTTACTGGGCACCAACTGGCTGCTTTTTGTCCTGGGATCCGTCTCTTTTGGTATATGAAGATTTCCAAGTTCCTGTGCCCTTTCTTATTAAACCAGGCAACCAGTTTATTTGAGCTTTCCTTTTTGTGTTTTTTTGGATCACTGTTACTGTTGCCCAGTGAAATGCTTTCTAGAAGCGAGGCACCCAAGGTTTGTCCTAATGCTCTAGCAAAGTCCTTACCAGAGGTGAGGAAAATGAACCCGTGATACATGTGTTACATAGCTTGTTATACCCCTGGTATGCAAGCACAGAGTTAGACTTTAATTAGCTGCAAACCATTGGTGACTTTTAATCAGCCTGTCATTTGTTAGAACTGCACTGCGACCCACACGACTCCCTAATGAGCCGTTTTCCCCTACTGAAATAGTGCAGCTGCTTAATTGTACCTATGTCGTATGTTAAATTTGTCCCTGGTTTTTCTTAGGCTATTTCTCTAATTTGCTAAGACGATTTTGACATTTAAAATGTTGCAAAGGGACCTGAAAAAGTGTGTCTCCAACTTGCTGTCAGCCACAAATCTAATGAATGGTTTTTCTTCTCATTATTTATATCCTTAAAGGAAATATTGCCTGGCAGTATATACAGGGTAGATTCCAATGGGACTCACTTTGGTCCACCTCGTCAATCTCACTGTGAAACCTTCTCTCTGATGATAATACTTTAAGCTGGGTTTGCATTTTATGAGATGTTTGCTTGAACAATGTTTCTGTATCTTACAGGTACTTTGAAATGCTCCTAGGATAACTACTGCTAGGTATATCCACCAAAAGAATCTGATACCTGGGTGTCTCTTCCTTTGAATCAAAAGTTTCTAGAGAATTTTTAAATTTCTTGATGTGATTTTTAACGTGTTTTCTAACTTCTTTTAACGTAAAAAGAAATTAAAACCCCAAAAGCTGTTTTTGTGTTAAACCACCTGGAGTGTAAATCTGACAGCCTCCCAGTGCTTTCTCTAAACAGTCGTCTGCTGACCAGGAGTTTCAGCAGTCCATGTTCTGTCCTTTCCATGACACTTTGCTCATTTTTCTTCTTTCTCACCCTGTTTGAGATGCCCAAGATCATCTGTTTCTGTGCTTAAAGGTAACTTTACAACTCCCCTAGAGCAGCCCATATTACTGAGTGAATGTGTTGTATTTCAAGGACATATCTATATAAAAATGCAAAAATAATTATTTGGTGATTGAAAAATAATTTAGAAGTGGTTACAGATTTTCTTAATTTGATCTCATTTATGTTTATGCTTCATAAGTTTAAGATTTAAAACACCTTTCTTCTTTTTGGTGTCTGTGACTATTTGGTATAAGGAAAATAGTATTCCATAATATATGATGGTGGCCACATCTAAACCCTGAATTTCCATCCATTTAACTCATTCTTTTGGTGGATTTCTTTAAGGTGATGCACCCTCTCTCTGGACTTAAAACTGACTTTAAGTTACTTGGTTGGCTTTAAAGTTTACATACGCTTGATCATTCTGAATCAAAGTGATAGGAGCCAGATACAGGGTTTGCATACAGGTTTCTCCCCCATCTAAATAAACTTGATACGTTTGATTGTTGGATAAGCTAAGCTCTGCGAGCAGGCCAGGTTTACAGTTCCACAGTTCAGCAGATTCTATGTGGGAATTTGATGTTTTATTCTGAGGCACTTCTTTGACCTTGTTCACAGAGGCAGATGGGACAACGGCAGAACTGTAGGTGGTGTAAACTGTCATGACTTTGTTAAATTTGTGAGGAAAGAGCCACCACATAGTTTTCTCCACTATGACAAATCCGATGTTCCTGTTGATACTTCACGAACATTTTGAAAAGATATGCTCACGGTTAAGCTTATGTGACTTCCTATCATTCAGCGAGTATCTTCTGATATGCTATGCAAGCTCTTTATGCTGACAACATTTTTTCACTTCTTTTTATAAGTTCTGGACCCTGGAAAAAAACCCAAAGTATCTATGAGCACTAGAGTTAGGAAGATGATGCACTTGTGAATGAGTTAAATGTGTATGGCAACAGTAAGTAACATTTTATAATCTTTGCAAATTGTGTACAAACAATGTATGTGTAGAGTGCATATACATGTATCACTGTGTTTAATATATGCTTTGCTTTTACTGTTCAGCTCAGATTACCTTAGAAGATTTGGTATTTGTAGGAAAAATACTGAAATACAGTTCTATTAGGAAGAGATAGTAGAATGTTTCTTTGCAGATAGGATGTTTGGGTATATCAGAGGTGGAAATTTCTGATTAGTAAAAGACAGAATCTCCTGTATTTTATCATTTAAAGCAAAGCAAGGCAGAGACCTAGGAAAAGTGCAAGCAAGGCTCAAGAGTCATGGATGGTTTATTATTCAGTTAAGGGTGATATCGAAGAGAGAGAGAGATGAGAGGTGGACAGAAGATTTACTGGAGGATAAAGAGAATTCAAAGGAGCTCTGCATTTGTAGTTCAGTGAGCTAAAACAACGTAGGAAAGAAGAGGAAAACAGAGGTAGGGAGAATAAACAGGGAAAATGCTTTGACCTAAAATGTGAATATATCATTTCTCTCTCTATTGCAGAGGAACTTTTCAAGAGGAGTTCAGTTAAGAGTTGTTAGCCAGGGGAAGACCTTTGCTTGTATCCATCAACAGTGCAAGTGCCAAAGACTCCCCAGGACATTGGATGTGGCTGAGCTCTGTGTCTAGAAACTGCTGCACATAAACACAAGACTAATTCAATAAGTTCTCCAGTGATCATTCAACTGGTACACACAGCTGCTTGTGCAGGCAATGAAGTTTGTCTTTGGGAATGAAACTGCAGGAATTCTGGCTAACTCTGCTTTGTTTTTGCTGCTTTATGTAGAAATTTACACTCTTGCGTATACTCCATGTTTCTGATTCGGAAGGTGTGGATGAGAACAGACATGATACCTCTTTCACAAAACACGCCTCACGGTTTTCTTCTTTGCAGCACTGTTCCCGCATGGCAGTAAAGGCGGCCGTGACGGAGGTCAGCTGTTCCTGTGTGATCTGGGGCTTGTATTTGATGAGGTTGATGAGCATTCTGCAAGGGAAGCAAAGCACATCCTGTGAAGCTGGGAGGTAAGCACATGGCTTACATAGCTCAAACACTAGTCCTGAAAAGTCACTGTTTTATTACTGCCCACTTCTGCTCTACAGCTTTTTCCTTTTTTTTTCACCACCCAGATATGTATTTGCAGCAGGGAGCAAAGATACG